TGGTTAGTATTGACCAATTCTGGGATTACTCTTTAACTGGAAACATTTCCAAATGCAGGTACAAGGGTAAGGATGTGGGAGGCCTCTGTTGCCAAGGGAATGTATATCATGTTTGAGGCAAGAATCTGGGAGAATCTTGCTTTGTCAGAATGCTACAGTAATGTTTTCATGACATGGACACTGCCCTTAGATAAAGCCATGGGAATATCACTTTTATCAGCCCTGGGAGGAAAAGTATATGAAGTACATAGCTAGCCTTTGCTACCAAATGTTTCCAGCCCTCTGTTCAGAGCCTCTCCTCTGTGATCTTAGTAACCGCCACAGGACATTAAAGCCAGACAGAGGCTGCGCTGAAATGATTCAATTTTATTGAGATGGTACTGGGGTCTCTGGAGGCTCTCATCACTGGGAAAGGCATCGGCGTGAGACTGATTCTGGAGCCATCATTACAATTTACTGGTTGATTCCAAATGCCTATGGATATGCAAAGGACCTAGAATGGTTAAAACAATTCTGTAACAGAGCAAAGCTGGTAGGCTCTCAATACATGAGTTCAAGGCTCATTAGAAAGCTTTATGTGATGCTGATAAAAGAGACGGACATAGTGGCTTGGCGGTGGTGGCGCACACCTTTAATCCCAGCACTGGGGAGGCAGAGGCAGGTGGAATCTCTGTGAATTCGAGGCCAACCTGGTCTACAGAGTGAGTTCCAGGACAGGATCCAAAGCTACACAGAGAAACCCTGTCTCCAAAAACAAAAACAAAACAAAAACAGACAGACATATCAAGGGAACATAATTGAGAGTCATGGCAGAAATACACATTTGATCAGTTGCTTTATTCTTCATAGTGTTGCCAAAGCAACATAACAAGAAAAGAAACATCTTTGTAATAAATGAAGCTGAAGCAAATAGGAAAAAAGTAAATCTATATTCCCTACTTCACACTGCATGCAAAAATAATTAGAGTGTATTATATAGTTTTTTGGAACACAAACTTTAAAATCAGCTCACGGAAGGACAAAGAACATCTTTTTGACTTTAGGATAGGCAAGAGTTCCTTAGAGAAGTGGAGGGAAAGAGAGGGGGAAAGGGGAGAGGAAGAGGAGGGGAAGTGGGAGAGGGAAAACGCATTACCTAGATCCTGTTGAATGTGCATAAGCAAAAGTGATAAATTGGTCTTCATTAAAAATGGAAAGTTGGTCATGACCTCCCATGAGGACATGTAGTAATACGGGCGGCAGGGCTGCGTCCCCAGCACCCCAGCTGCCCATACGGCTAGCTTTACCCGAAATAACAACACACAAACTGTATTCATTTAAACACTGCTTGGCCCTTTAGCTCTAGCCCTTACTGGCTAATTCTGATATCCCGATCAACCCATCTCTAATAATCTGTGAGAACCGGTTTTACCGGGAAGATTCTAGCCTAGTCCATCCTGGGTCAGAGTTTCATGGCGTGTGTCTGCCCGGGAGCGGGGCATGGTGTCTCTCTCTCAGGCGTTGCTCCCGAGAGGAGAGCTGTGGAGTCTGAGCTCACTTCCTCTTCCTCCCAGCGTTCTGTTCTGTTTACTCCTCCCACCTATCTTCTAACCAATAAAATGGGCCAAGGCAGTTCCTTTATTAGCCAATGACCTTCCTCCATCAAGGACATGCCTCTCACAAATGATCTCCTTCATCCCTCTTTAGAAAAGAAGAAGAAACTCAGGAAAAGGTGCCCATTGTAGGTCCCGGTTTCTACTTCATGGATGTGAAATAGCCAAAATGCTATAAAATAACAATGGTTTTGAGCTGTGCACAAATGGTAGTCTTGTGTGTAGGCTGCTGTACCTCCATCAGCCCACAGGTGGAAAAGCAAGGCAGACAGAAGGCTGCATCTTCAAGGGGAAACATAGAGATCTGCTATATAAATGCCCCGAAGAGAGTATTTTAGGACAAACTGTCTTCCTTCTGTTTGAAGTTGAAATTACTACACAGATGTGTTTGATGGCATGGACTTCAAGTTCAGATATAATAAAAGTTTGAATTATTGTTTATACATTTATGGATTTACTACCCTTTAAAATGGTAAATTTACAAGACTATATAGTCATTGAGTTTGGTTTCAAATGTGAATGAAGGTAGCTATTGATATAGCAGACATATTAAAAAAGATGCAAAAAATACATTGATTAATGATTGATCCCAAACAATGCAGCCAATGCAGCTAGTGCTGCCAATTTAAGGAGAGGGTAAATTTGCCAATTATGGCTATTACTTAAGCAATTAGCTAATTAAAGACAAGAAAATTTATGTGTATAGATGATGTTAGAAATATATGCCAGCAATATGGTCAATCAAATCAAACCCAGTCCAGGTTTCAGAACTTTGATCTGACTTCTTGAAAATGAATCAGCCCAAGCACATACTCGAGTTAACGCCAGGGAATGACAAACTCCTACTGACGTTTCCCATCAGGTCTAATAATAAACATGGCTGTCTTCTGTGGAGACAAGGGAAGGGAAGTCATCATAATAAACAATTTCAAATGCTCCAAGATGGGTGAATTCAACACATGTGCTTGCACTTAGCTTCAAGCTTGTGAGTAAAAATGGCCACAACTGGATGTTACTAGTAATAAAATTATATTCCTGCATCAATAGTGTGAATTATCAGAATGAAGAAAACCATCTACACCTGATATTTCTAAGGGATTTACTATCATCTATCTATCTATCTATCTATCTATCTATCTATCTATCTATCTATCTATCCATCCATCTACCTACCTATTTATCTAATAATTATTTAGACATAGGGTTTTTCTCTGTAGCTCTGACTGGTGTGAAACTTCTGTTCAGACCAAGCTGACCTGGATCTTTCCTCTGCCTCCTGAGTGCTGGGATTTCAGGCATATGCCACTATGCACATCCCTTTGATGGTTTGTGTCTAGAAAAGGCAGAGCAAGTGGTTGAAAGCAAAGGGATGTTTGTCCATGTGACTGTAGATAGCATGACTCAGAAAGATGGCATGGGGGCACCTTGACAGGATGATGTTGAGTCTTCTCTGGTGGTACGAAATAAAATGGTGATGAAGACTGGGTAACCAGAGTCTTTAATAATGAAGGACAGTGAGAGGTAGTAGCAAGACATCCTCATGAGCTCTGAAGTTCTAGTTTCTGACCCTTGTTTGGACACTCATAAAGTGACTCTGGTTGGGTAAGTCACTTGATTTTCCTGAGCATAGGCTTTGCCATCTTTTGTGTTGGGGTTGTTCTAAGGATTGGTGAAACAGAGGACACTGAGAAAGTAAGTAGGTATCTGCTACAGTTGTTTTTCATTATCTGCTTGTAACTGACTCTTCAGTGCAACCCCGGGCCGGAGCCACGCCATGGTTTCTGCGAGAGCCTGGAGGTATTTTAGGAAATAATCAATACAAGATGTGTTGGGTTGCGGCCATGTTGAGAAGCCTGCTTCTTGACAGAATGGTGTTTGATGGAATTAATAATACTTGAGAGAAACATTGTAAAAGCCTGAGGGAAGGAAAAATATGGAGGATGCCTAGGGAGAGAGTTGAAGCCAGTGTGGAAATCGTCATCCAGAGAAGGCTGGTCTTGTCTTGCTGCTGGTGGGGCAATACACATGCACAAGCCCACATGTGAATGTGTGTATAGAAACACACACTAAGACATGCATGCATATGTAAGGGAATATGTACATGTCCACATATGTATATATAAGAACATGCACACACATACACGTGGAGATTTATGCACATAATATATACAAATAGATGTGTCCACATTTGGATACACAAATACATGTGTGCACAGATAGATGCACATACTTGCACACATAAGCAACCAGTATCAGTTTTGTTGGTGGGGGTCTCAGGAGAAACTGGCCCATAAGGACAGCTCACATGAATTCCAATAATGAATAATTGCAAATTGTCCACTCAACAGGCTATCACCTTCTCTGGAAATGTTGTTTCTGGCTTGTTTTGAAAAGTGTGTGTGTGTGTGTAGGTCAGAGGTCATTGTTGGGTGTCTTTCTCTGTCACTCTCTACTGTATATTTTGAGTCAGGCTCTCTCACTGAATGTGGAGCTCAGAAGATTGGTTGGTTAAAGAGCCCCTAGCATCCTCCTGTCTCTGCTAGAATCTCTAGTGCTGCTAGAATTGCATATATATATATATTTAAACAGTTAAGAACCATCTGCTGTCTGCTCACTGAGATTTGGAAGTTATTGATGTTGTGATAGGAAGAGACTCAGCAGGGATGACAGACCAGGACCTCATGGTTTTAAAATCATAAATCAAACCCAACAGTGACCTACGCTTAGGAAGAGAAAACCATTACTTTTCCTTTATCTAAAATGTTCCCAGGTTTTCTACAGGATTTTCTTCACATTGGTGTTGCTGTGGGAACACTTGGAGTAGCAAGGCAGGATGTTTTCGCTGCCTATATTGCAGCAGAAACATACTGGGAAGTCAGGGACAAGCTTGGTCAAGGCTAAGTAAAGCCTGGGGGACGTATGGTATAGGGACAAAGAGTCTGTCCTCAAGAAGCTGCCTTCCTGTTGTGTAAGAAAAGAGGTTGTGGGGCTCTTCATGGTGAAATAGCAGGTAAAGGCACTTGCTGCCCACCCTGATGACCCAGTTTAGATCCTTAGGACCCACATCGCAGTAGGAGAGAATTGACACTTGCAAGTTGGCCTCTGACCTCTACACATGTACTGTGTTGCACATACCCCTAAATAAATGTTTTTTTTTAAAAGAAAGATTAAAAAAGGAAAAAAAGTTCTTGAATACCACACCCAAATGGCCAGAGACCAAAGGCCACATTGACACAAGATGAAAACATTTATTTTCAGAAGAGCGATGAGACGCTTTCCTAACTTAAAATTGCTTTGTGTTGTTTTTTTGTGAAGGAATTATGTATATTACTCATTATTTAAAATATGTATATTTCAAGATCAGAAGATCAGCAGTAAATCTTGACATTAGTTCTATTATATTTTCAGGAAGAAAGAAGGAAGAATTTCATCAGCCGAAGCCTTGCCCTGGCAGAAGTGGTCTGCATGGTGGACCCGGCCACCTGTGTGAAGGTGAGAGGCAGACAGTCCTGCTTCTGTGGAGCTTGCTGCCTCAGACCTGCTCTCCTGCTTTTTCACTATTGTCATCCATTCTCTCTTCTTTGCCTTTTGCTTTGTTTGCTTTGAGACAGTTTTCCTATGGCCTAGGCTGACCTTGAACTCCTTCCTGCCTCTGTCTCCCAAGTGCTGGGATCACTAGTGCAGTCTGATGCGTTTCTTGTTTTTTCATATTGTTTTCATTAATTCATAGATAGTGTATTAATTGATTATTCCCATTTGTCTTAATTTCCTCCTCCTTCTCTTTCTTCTTCTTCTTCTTCTTCTTCTTCTTCTTCTTCTTCTTCTTCTTCTTCTTCTTCTTTCTTTTTGAGACAGGATTTCTCTGTGTAGCCTTGGCTGTCCTGGAACTCACAGAGATCAGCCTGCCTCTGCCTCCTGAGTGCTGGGATTTAAGGTGTGCACCACCTCACTCAGGCTTCATTTGTCTTTATTTTATAAAGACAGTACCATAAATGTCTGTGACTTACTTTCTTCACTTAGGTATCACTGCTGAGACTGACCTATATTGTCCCAAGTCATGGCCTTCATTGATTTAAATAAGTTAAATATTTGGCTTTGAAAATTAAGCCCTTGAAGCTTTTATTTGTTCGGTTTTTTACATATGTGTCACATCATGGAGAGCACTACTGCTTTCTCATCAGCCTACATGGAAGTTAGCTACTTTTGCTTCACAGTGACCCAAATACCTCTGAAAACAACACAAGGAGGGATGATTTATTTTGATTCATGGTTTCAGCTTGTTGCTGAGAAGGCGTGGTGAAGCAGGTGGTGCCATGGCAGCAAGAGTGTATAGCAGACAATCGAAAACACAGCAGACCAGGAGGCAAAGAGCAGGACAGGAAGTGGGCAGGGATAATACATTCCCAAGTACTGCTCCTCTTGGTATAACCTTTTGAGATGTGGATAGTATGTGTGTGTGTGTGCATTTGCACACGTGTGCTTGTGTACAGAAGCCAAAGGGCAACTGTGGTGTCATTCCTCAGCCATATTTTTTATAATTAGATTGTTTATGTATTGAAAGAGAGAGAAGAGGGGTTGGGGAAGAGAAAGGGAGAGGGAGATCAAGAGAGAGAGAAAGACAGACAGACAGACAGACAGAATATGAACACATAATGGTGTTCCTATGGAGGTCAGAGGACAATTTGTTGGAATCAGTTCTCTCCTTCCACCATGCAGATTCTGGGGACTGAACTCCGATCATCAGGCTTGGCAACAATATTCCCTGAACCATCTTGCTAGCTCCTGGACACTCTGTTTTTTAAAAAAAGGAAACAGGGGTCTTTACTGGCCAAGAACTCACTGAGTAGACTAGGTTGGCTGGCCAGCGAGTCCTGGAGATCCTCCTGTCTGCTTTCCCAGCATTGAGACTAGAAATGTATGTCATCGCACCTGCATATTTTTTAATGGAGGTTCTGGGGATCAAACTCCGGTCCCTGTGGTTAAAAGGCAAACACTTTGCTGACTAAGTCGTCTTATCATTCCACCCAGAGCCCTCGTTAATTATCTACCAGGTGGTGGCTTCATTGGTGGATTGAGGAGAGGCCAACAAGCACTCTGCTCTGATGAACAGAATCACCTTCTCTTCCCCATGTGTACGTCGAGGCTCTGGCCAAGGCTCATCATTTGTCTCGTGATACTGTCCTGACCTCAGGTGCCAGTCTTTAGGCATCTCCAGTGGGAGCCTGTGGAGGCTGCTGCCAGCTCTTGATGCTGTCCTGACCTCAGGTGCCAGTCTTTAGGCATCTCCAGTGGTGCCTGTGGAGGCTGCTGCCAGCCTTTTCTGGGCATGCTGTGGTTATTGCTTCATACTCCTGATGTTGCAACCATCCTTTTTCTTCAGATTATAGAAAAAGGAGAGAGAGAGAGACACCCAAAACAGTACATGTAGAGTGCATGTTTGCAGTTGGGGTTTTCTTTCATAAGGTGTCTCAACTGCTTTCCTCAGTTTGTCTCAACACAGGTGGGCTTCTTAGTGTTCTGCCCCTGAGGTTTACTAGGGACAGGAGATAGGGTGGTTTTTACAGCAGTGGACACAGTGTCTTCTGGGACGACAGTCTGGATATATGTCCATCTCTGGCCAGTTGCAGTATCTCTGTCCCTCTATCTTCATTTAAGATATCTCCTCCCTGTTCATGCCAACTCTCGCAAGCTCCTCCATCACAGCTAATGGGCTTTCATGGACACGGTCACTCAGCCAAAGACCAGGTACTCCCAGAGTACCCCTTCTCTTCCCAAATCCAACTCATCAACTTGTCTCCAGAATTTACCCTGAATCTCTCCACTCCTTTCCTCACTGCCACCACCACTACTCACCTGCCTGATTCAGTTTTCTGGTTAGAAAACTGTTTGTGCTCCTCCTGGGAGGCGCTGCTGTGACCATGTCAGGCCAGAGGTCACCAGCTCAGGAGCCCTCTGGTACTCTTGGTGAACTTGGTCTTGTTGTCTGCTGTGTGAAGACTGCTTTTGTGAGGGGAAGTCCCCACACATTTCTTTGTTGTGTGAGTGGAAGTGGCAGAGATGCTATCTACGAGCTGGCCACTTTCCTTCGAAGGCACAGGCCATCCTGGCCTAACTGCTTACTAACGTAGCTAGTGAATGGAAGCTTTTCAAGCATGTACAAAAATATCCTAGTTTTTCCCATTCCCAAGGAAGAGGAAAACGTTAAAAATCTAGAAAAGAAATATATGATAATGTATACATTCACCATCAACCATAGAGGTTTAGGAGAGGAAAATTCAATTTGCCTTAACTTGAGTAAAATATTGTCTTTAAAACTAGACACAAAGGAAAAAAAATATCATTTTGGATTGATTCCATTTTCCAAATGTGTGGGTACAATGGACCCCTCCTGCCCACCGAAAGATCCAGTTTAAACTTGATTAAGCAAAATAGACTTAATTATTCTCATTAAAGAATTCCACTGGTGAGTGAGCCCTGAGTTCTTGAACCTCTTGGCCATCTTCTTTCTTCAACCCCATCATCGTATGCTGGCTTCATTCACCACCTCAAGGTGAGCTGGCAATCAGCTGCCTCAGGTCTCAATGGCTCTGGATTCCATTGTGTCTTGGTGGCCACTTGGAAGGGGCCCATTGAGATCCTAGGTCTATTCTTGAAGCCACAACTTCATGGCTCTGGGGATGATGTAGCTCAGCTGTATGTAGGTCGCACTCATCCTAAAGCCACATGTAAGGATGGTCCTCAGGGGAAATTCAGAGTCTGTGGCTAGGAGAGAGAGGGAATGCTGAGCTCAACACCAGCAAATATCTACACACTTCCATCCCTTTGTTTCTGCCACCAGTCACCTTACTCCTTCCATGTGGAATCTAGATGTCTCTTCTTCTTCTTTGTGTTTCCGTCAACTTGACATCAACTAGAGTCACTTGGCAAGAGGGACCCTCAACTCTCCATTTGGCTTGTCCAGCATGCCTTGGTTAATGTTTGAAGTGGGAAAGAAAGCTCAGTCCCATGTGGGTGGTGCCACCCTGGGAAGCCCAGCCCCATGTGGGTGGTGCAACTTTGGAAAGCCCAGTCTCTTGTGGGTGGTGCCACCCTGGGAAGCCCAGCCCCTTGTGGGTGGTGCCATCTTAAGTGGGTGGTGCTGGGGTGTATAAGAGCAATAGAAAGCCATGGGGATCAAGCCAGTCAGTAATATTTCTCTGTAGTCTCTGATTATTAAGTTTTCTGCCTTGGCTTCTCTTGATGATGGCTGTAACCCAGAAGCTGAAAGAAACCCTTGACTCCCCCAAGTTGTTTTTGATTGTAATGTTTATCATATGGATAGGGATCAAACTAGGGTACCTCTCCTCTTTCTCTTTTTTAAACCTGCATCCACCTCCCCTTCCTCTTCCCCTTTCCCTGTCAGTAACACTTTCTCAGGGCTTACAAAAGGGCAGAGAGGGCGGTGGTGGCCCACACCTTTAATCCTAGCACTCGGGAGGCAAAGGCAGGTGGATCTCTGAGTTCGAGGCCAGTTTGGTCTACAAGAGCTAGTTCCGGGTTAGGCCCCAAAGCTACAGAGAAACCTTGTCTCAAAACAACAACAACAACAAAACAAACAAACAAACAAACAAACAAACAATTTTTCCCCGACGGTGGTGGCGCACTCCTTTAATCCCAGCACTCGGGTTCCAGGACTGGAACCAAAGCTACAGAGAGAAACCTTGTCTTGAGAAAAACCAACCCCCCCCCCCCCAAATAAAAAGGGCAGAGAAAGACCTGTGTAGCGTGAAGGATTCCTAGAGATACCCTGAAGTGCGATTTTAATTAGTCTTAATAATGGAAACCTAGTGTCAGGTATCAGGGTAAAAGCTGAAAGATCAGAGAAGTAAAGTAGCAACCACAGTCACCTCTTAACCTCTCCAACTCCTTTGACCAAAAAGGGCTGAGATCCTGTCTATACCCCACCTTATCACTTCCTCTCTCTGCCCAGCCTGTTCACTTCCTGTCTGTACAGCCCTTCAGAACTGTACGGTTAACTCGTGGCTAGATCCACCCTTTGGTCTCCAGGCAAGCTTTATTAGTCAGAACACAAAATATTACAACCAAATCAATCCTTGAATGGATTTTGACCAATGGGTCTAGCTGTTGCTAAGCTGTTGACTGTGGCTCGTCATTGTTTGTACTGTCCTTGTTTCTAGTGTGGAGTCATTTCTTTCCTATTTGGCGGTACCATCCTCAATCTTGGAAGTTCTGAACATGTTATCAAGTGGTATCAGCAACTCAAGGTATGATGCTTACTTTAGCAGATAGCTTTTTCCATGGAGATTTAAAAAAACAAAATCATACTACTTTTGTGTGTCTGTTTGATTAGAAACAAAACAGAATTCAAGTCTGCAAAAATTTTGACCCAAATGAGAATTTCAAGACTATCTTTTTACATACTACATCTACATCTGTCATATTCTTTTTTTAAAGATTAAAAAACTGTTTATGTGTATGGATGTTTTACCTGGCTGTGTGTTTGTGTACCACATGAGTGTGAGATGCCTTCAGAGGCTGGAAGGGGGTGTTGGATCCTCTGGAACTCGAGTTATGGATTGTCGGAAGCTATTACATAGATGCTGGGAACTGAACCTAGGTCCTCTGCAAAACAGGAAGTGCTCTAAACCGTGGAACCATCTTTCCAGGCTCATCTTCCATATTCCCAAATGCATAATAAACATCAACAAAATATGTTTTTATGGTTGTTTCCAGCTTTCTTCTCCTTTCCTTGCTAATATTGTTAGTGTCCTGAGGTCTTCAGTTAGAGTTCCTCTGACCATCTAACTTCCTTTTAATATTTCCTAAATTTCAGGAGCTGAAGTATACCGGGATGTTTGCAATGACGGAGAAAGGCCACGGGAGCAATGTGAGACAGATCCAGACTGAGGCTACCTTTGACCTTGACAATCAGGTGAGGGATCTGTTTTTTGTTTCATGGTTCTCTGCAATAGGGGACCTGCACAGACCACCCATCTTCCTGAGCCTGGCTTTACACCCTCAGCATGGTTCCCTGCAATAGGGGACCTGGACAGACCACCCCATCATCCTGAGCCTAGCTCCACACCCTCAGCATGGTTCCCTGCAATAGGGGACCTGCAGAGACCACCCCATCGTCCTGACCCTGGCTCCACACCCTCAGCATGGTTCCCTGCAATAGGGGATCTGGACAGACCACCCCATCGTCCTGAGCCTGGCTCTACACCCTTAGCATGTGCTCTGGTTGGGAAGCTTAGGCTCAGAACAGGTTGTTTTATGAATGGACATGGGCTCAACCTTTGGAAGCAATACCAGCCTATGCTACACACTTCCTGCCACCAACAGGACACAGCTCTGCACACATATTCTTTAGTTATTCCCTCGTAACGTTTCAATGGGAACAGCACTAGCCACATTGTTCTTCTTCCAACAGTAGTCTATGAGAAAGGAAGAGATGTCTTTGCTGTTTCTGCCTGGAGTACATGGCAGCACACCAAGAGTTGAGATTTTTCTGATCAGGAGATAAGTCCTCTATGCTGTCACAGCTGTTCCTCAGTATTCATGGACATCACAGCTTCTAGGAACCTCTGAAAAGTCTAAAATACACAGACGCTCAATTTCTTTCTATAAATAGCATAGTATTTGTGTAGGACATGCCAGACCTCCTCCATTTTGTATAAAAAATGATCTATTTACATCATTTTTGATGACTTCTAATACTTACTATAATAATGATGTTATGCATCTGTTAAACTGTATTATTTATCGAACGATGATAATAAAACCTTGTCTGTAGGTAGTAAGTATAGATGGAATTAAAATGTATCTCAATACATAGTTGATTGAATCCAGTGATATGGGACTCATGTGGATAGAGGGCAAATTAATTGCATTATGCAGTGTTCTTTTTGTGTGTGGTATCTTGAATTTAATTGGCCTCCATAAACTCATAGGGAGTGGCACTATTTGGAGGTATGGTCTCATTGAAGTAGATGTGGCTTTGTTGGATGGAGGAAGTGTGTCACCATGAGAGTGGGCTTTGAGGTCTCCTGTGCTCAAGCTTTGTCCAGTGTCTCAGTTCACTTTCTGTTACCTTGGGATCAAGATATAGAATTCTCAGCTCCTTCTCCAGCACCATGTCTGCCTGCATGCCACCATGTCCCACCATAATGATAGTGGACCAAACCTCTGAACTGTAAGCAACTCCAATTAAATGTTTTCCTTTATAAGAATTTCCATGGTCATGGTGTCTCTTCACAGCAATAAAAACTCTATAAAAGATGGAATTTGGTACCAGGGACTAGGATATTACTGTGATAGGCTTGACCATATTTTTGTTTGAAGGAATATGAACATTGGAACTATGTATTAGGAAGCATTTGGAACACTTTAAGCATTGTCTAATGGACCATACTAATAGGAACATGGAAGACAGTGGTGCTGAGTGTGAGTTGATGAACTGTGGGGGCCCAGATCAAAATGTTTCAGAGGATAAGAATTTTAGTATGTTGCCTCAAGATCATTCTTGTGATATTTAGTGAAGAATGTGGCTGCTTTTTGCCCTTGTTCAGAGTCTACCTGAGGCTAAAGTGAAGAGTTGTGGATTAACTCCTTTGGCAGAGGAAATCTCTTTAATTGTCTAGTATAGACTGTGTCATGTGGTTATTAGTGATAACTCTAATCAAGATTTATACTGAAAGGGAGTAAATTGAAGAAGGCAAAATACAAAATGTAAAATTTGAGGAGAAAGGGGGCAACAGGAAATGGAATGGTGCTAAATCCCGCATTCAAGGAGAAAGACAGATTAAGAAATGGAATAAAGGCAGTGGTGACCTCAGGGAACTATCCCACCAGCTAAGTTTCCAACTTGGGAAAAGGAATTAAAGAAAAGCTTAGAGCTGGGTGTGGTGGTAGATACCTTTAATCCCAGCACTCCAGAGGTGGAGGCTGGCAGATCTCTGAGGCCAGCCTGGTCTACAGATCCAACTTCAAGACAGCCAAGCTTAGGCTGCAAAGGAAACCATTGAAAAGAGAAAGTTGGTGAAGATGTAATTGAATGAGGAGGGCCATGTTCCAGTCCCAGTAAGCAGCAGAAGATGGCAGCTTTAGTCACGTGGTTCTGGAGTTAAGGATAGAAGAAAGGGGCTATGGAATTTGTCTCTTTGACTAAGAAAGTTGTTGAGGTCAGGCAGATGTCATGAGTGTCCCTAAATGGAGACCTGGAGGGGCCATTACATAAAGCTGTGAAGTTGAAACCTGGATGGCCTTGGAGACCCCAAGATATTGGAGATGCCAGACCCATGGGATACCTGCTAAGGAAAACTGCTAACAGGGAGTGGAACTAGCCCAAGAGACGAAGTGAGTTGCAGTCAACAAAGCTGAAAGGAGTTGGAGATCTGAAGAGCATTTTGACATCTGACATGGTGATACAGAGTTTGGTGTTTGCTCAGCTGGTTTTTTATCTTGTTTTGGTTCAGTATTTCCTCTCTATGCTTCCTTCCATATGTTTTGGAACAGTAATGTATATCCTGTGCCATTACGTGTTGGAAGTATGTGATTAGATTTTTTTATTTTGATTTTATAGGGGATTATAGTTAAGAGATTGCATGAATTTCAGAAGAGACTTTGAACTTTGGAGTTTTAAACATTGTTGAGACTATGATAGACTATGGGGACTTTTGAAGCTGGACTAAATGCATTTTGCATTATGATACTGTTACAGGCTTATAGGGGTCCTGGTGTGGAATGTGGTAGTTTGAATGTAATTGACCCCATAGTCTCATAGGGAGTGGCACTATGAGGAGGTGTGGCTTTGTTGGAGTGGGTATGGCCTTGTTGGGGGAAGTGTGTCACCTTGGGAGCTATCTTTGAAGTCTCCTATGCTCAAGCTATGCCCAGTGTCTCAGTTCACTTCTTGTTGTCTCTGGGTCAAGGTGTAGAATTCTCAACTCCTTCTCCAGCACCATATTTGCCTGCATGCCACCACGTCCCACCATAATGATAATGAACTGAAACTATAAACCACCCCAATTAAATGCTTTCTCTTGTAAGAGTTGCCATGGTCATGGTGTCTCTTTACAACATTAGAAACCGTAAAATGTTATGTGAGCGTATGTGTGGTTTATGTGCACCTATGCCTGTGCATATGGAGGCCAGAAGAAGATGCAGAGTGCCCTGCCTTACCATGCTCTACCTTATTCTCTCGAGACAGGGTCTCCCACTGAATCTGGACAGAGATAGGCTAGCAGCCAGCATGGCCCAGTGATGCTCCTGGTTCTGCCCAACACAGCATAGGGTCTCACCTGTGTTTTCACCAGGGTCCTGGGGATTTAAACTCAGGTCCTCATGCTTGAGAAGCAAGTGTTCTTCCCCACCGAGTCATCTCCTAGCCCCTGTGTGGTTTTCCTAACTCACATGGATTTTACTTGACAACCTGAAGGCACTGTAGTGTTGCTTTTTCTCCTTTTTATTCATGTGATGAACTCTATTCTTTTCCTTTCCATTTTGTTCTTTTGCTTCTCTTTTCTTTGATTTTCTTCATTCCCCTTCCCTTTAAAATATGTGTGTGTGTGTGTGTGTGTGTGTGTGTGTGTGTGTGTTGTAGTAGGAGCGGCGGGGCTGCGTCCCTGGCACCCGGCCGCCCACACGGCTAGCTTTACCTGAAATAATTACACGGACACTGTATTCTTTTAAACACCGCTTGGCCCATTATATCTAGCCTTTTCTCGGCTAACTCTCGCACCTGGACTAGCCCATTTCTTATAATCTGTGTAGCCCACGAGCTGGCTTACCAGGAATGATCTTTTTTTTATTTTTTTTATTTTTTATTTTTTTTTACCAGGAATGATCTTAACCTGTGTCTGCCTGGAGTGGGAGAATTATGGCGACCCTATGACTCAGCTTCTTTCTCCCAGCATTCTGTTCTGTTTACTCCACCCACCTATGTTTTAACCTATGAGGGCCAAGCAGTTTCTTTATTGCTTAACCAATGAAATCAACAGATTGATGTATGACACTCCCCCATCATGTGTGTGTGTGTGTGTGTGTGTGTGTGTATTGTGTGAGTGCGCACGCACGTGTGTGCCACAGTATGTGTGTGAGGTTAGAAGACAACTTGTTGGATTCAGGTCTCTCCTTCCATCATGTGGGTACTAGGGATTGAACCCAGGTCATTAGACTTGGTGGTGAGTGTCTCTACCCACCGAGCCATCTCAATCACCGGCCCTCTTTTCCCTTATTAATTAAACATGTTGGTGAAGACCTTCTAATCTGGCGTCTTTCTCCATAATGGACCATAACCAAAGCAATGTGGAAGCTCTTCTTGGTAGTTCTCCACTGGACCCCTCCACGCCCATAAAGAAAGCCACTGTTGAATTCTGTTACCCTCTTTGCACTTTCTTATCTGGTACTCGGTATTCCTAAGGACTACAAAGGGACAACTGAATTCTGTTGTGTGTAGCTGTGTTTGTGAGTGGGCTGGGGAGGGGACATTACACTAGTGTCTGTGTGTCTAGTTCTATTCTTCCATTTCCTCCGAGTTTGCCTTTCTGAATCAGGAATTTAATAAAGTAAGTTTTTTTTTGACTGACAAATCTTCAGTGGGTGAGTGACCAGTGCTGAGAATGCCCTAGTCAGTGACCAGTGCTAAGAATGCCCTATTCAGTGACCAGTATTGAGAATGCCCTATTCAGTGACCAGTGGCTTAGAGGATAGTTTCCCTGCCCTGATGTTCATTCTTTGCAGCGGTCAGTGATCTCCCAGGTTGTGGGAAATGCAAGGACTGTGCCCTGCCATGCTGGCCCAGCTTCTTCTCTATGCTGCCTGTATTCTTTCGCATCAGCACTCCCTTTAAGAAGGTTAAGCAGTTCCTGCAAGTAGAGAATTCAAGTGGTAGAAGGCACTAAGCTAAGCCCTGAGATAACCAGCCAACAAAACTTTGTTGTCCCTATTTTATGGATAGAAACTAAGACTCACAGAAGTTAGGGACCTGACTATAGTGACAAAGTAGCAGAGTTAAGGAGTCTTAGGCTGAAATGGAACTGTCTTTAAGAGTGTGGGTTATTTACCCGATATCTTGTGGGTTATAACTGACCACTTTTGTCCTTTTCCCAGGCTTGCAATCGTTACTGTGAAGGGAAAAAACACCCACAATTCTTACTTGTTTCTTCTTTCAATTTCTTTTTTGACAAAAAAATAATTTCTTGCATTGGTCCCATTTTCCCCAAACAGCATAAATGATTTTGTCACCTGATGGGCCTCTGCAGCTGCCTCTTTCTGACAGGGGAGTTGCAGATGAGGAAAATGGTGAGCACTGTCTCTCCAGTGGGTGGGAGAGAGACAAGTCAGTCATGAACTTCTGCCAGGAGGAAAGCAGGATGGTGGGGGGTGAGGGGCACAGCGGGGGGGGGGGGGGGGGACTGACACAGCAGGGGGTGGTTTCTCCCTTGGATTCACATTTCTCCTTTTGAAAGTGTGTTGCATATCAAATGAATCTTGCTTCCATCGCTTACTGGTTTTGGTTTTTGGTTCTTTTGTTTTCATTTGTAGGGGACTAGATCAGCCAGCGGTATGTTAGCTGTGAGATAAGAGCTTTATTTTCATACTCTGTGCTAACTAGCAAAAATAAGTGCGGCTACGGCCAAAGCTTTTTAATTTTTATTTTAAATCTATTATCTATCTATCTATCTATCTATCTATCTATCTATCTATCTATCGTGTGTGCATACACATGCATGTACCACAGCACTCATGTGGAGGTCAGAGAACAATTTTCTGGAGTCTGTTCTCTCCTTTCTGCCATAAGGGTTCCAGAAATTAAATTCAGGTTATTAGGCTTTGAAACAAATGCCATTAGTGACTGAGTCATCTCACTGGCCCTTTTTGACTTTCAAAAAGATTTTATTTTACATTTTACATTATGAACATGTGTGTGTGTGTGTGTTGGTATGTGTATAATGTGAGCGCAGGTCTCTTCAGAGCCCAGGGATGTGGGCTGTCCTGGAACTGGAGTTACACAGTTACAGGCAGTTGTGAGCTGCCTGACAGGGCTGCTGAGAACCAAAGTCAGCTCCTTTGTAAGAGCCGTGCATTCCTGAACCACTGAGCCATCTCCCCAGCCCTCTCCTTTCCTATTTTTTATTTTATTTTTACATTTCTTAGTCTTTGCAACTTTGACCATTTTGCTGGTCTTTACCAAGTAATCATAATTGTAACCAGCACACATGCTGGGCATTGTTTAGGTTACAGTTTGAACTCCAGCATTTTGGCTGATACAAACTTTCCACATGCAGTCTCTTGCCAGAAGTGACAAACTTCTTCCCGGGGTGTATTAGATGTGTAGAGGACCAGTATGCGTGGCCTCCCACCTTCTCTCCTGGCAGCCTGGTGTTTCCAGAGCTCTCTTCTCAGTATGAGTGGCCTCCCACCTTCTCTCCTGGCAGCCCGGTGTTTCCAGGGCTCTTTTCTCCCTCCCCATCATGCACATGGGTTGTTTTGTCTTCGTGCCCATTGCATGCAACCTTGAATTCATTCTCCTGCTTCCAGAAGCCCTGGCTGACCAGATAAACCAAGGGCAATCTCGAGAGACTTCTCTTGAAGAGATTCAACTCGCCCATGTATTTTTTTTTTCTGAAAAGCCCCTGCACATGTTAAAGGTTTTCCTGTACAAACTGATGTCAGAGATTGTTTTCTTAGGCTTTGAGACTGTATTTCTTGGCCCGATGGGAAAGCACAGTCTATACACTTTATAATCTGAAATCTGAGATAATCCTTGTGTGACCAAGAACATGTTGGTTTAGCTGAATCATATCTTCTACATTGTCAACTCCAATTAAGTAGCCAGTTCAGCTTTCTGCCATTTTTCTCTGGGCCCCTGACCTGTCATAGGTACCCTGTACTCAGAACTAGCAATGTGGTTGGTACCGCCTTGGGAAGAGGTTTAAGAGAAACCTATGTGGTGAGCAAGAGTGGGGAGATCCGAGCCTTGAAGGCAATATTTTCACCGGCTAGTAGGAAAGAGACGCCTAGATTTGAGCAGAGACTGGAAACCAACCCTACATGTGGTCCCTGCTTCTACAGGCTGGAGCTGGTTTCAGGGTCTTTGGAGCTGGAATCACTGGCTATTACTGAGACAAACTGCATGGGGCATTCTAAGATCCCCTCAGAAGACCACGGCTCCTTTGCAGGTGTCTCTGTACCAAGGGCTTGGGCATGTGGCTCTAGTCTGGGACCCTGGGGACTCTTTTACATTCACTGACTAGTAAGATGTTCACAGTAGGTTCTGAGACAACCAGCCAAAGGGTTTGGTGGGTGTTTTCTTTAACTTTAAAAAAAAAATCTAAATTAAAATTATTTTGGGGCGATATGCTAAGCAGTATAGGAATAACGCACAGATGCCTGTTTTGCTGGCAGTCAAGCACATGGCTTCGGCTTCTTAATGAATAGGTTGTGATTTAAACAAAGTTCTTATCATGGCTGCAGGATGGCCAGGCCTGTGCAATTGTGGAAAGCTTGAGAACTCAAGAGATTTACCTAGAAAGGGAAGACAAAGTGAAACATATGTTGTGTAGAAACAAACCATCCAGGGCCCTGGGTCATTGGGCTGCTCCCTCTTTTCATGGGCACCTCATAGGTGAGGTGTTTGAGAGTGAGGGGTATGTGGAGAGCTAAATACATTCTACCAGAACCTGTGTGCCCCCTTCCGTGTGTGTGTGTGTGTGTGTGTGTGTGTGTGTGTGTGTGTGTGTGTCATGGGGAGTAAACCCATTACTTTGAGGCCAGAAAGTATTCAACCTCTGAGCTGTAAGCCCATCCTTTTATTTTTATTTTGAGAAAAGGCTTTGCTAAATTGCCTAGGCTGCCCTTAAACTCACTGTGAGGTCCAGGCAGTTTTTGAATGTATAGTCTTCTTGTCTCAGCCTCCCATGTAGCTGAACTTGGGGTCTGTGTCAGCACATCTAGCTCTTGTAGAGGTTTTGGTGTTGGGTTCTTTAAAAGGTGAAACCACAGTTTGAAGTAGTCGGATAAGAGAAATTGATAATTGAAGAAATAGTTAGCATGTTGAAAACCAGTGGGTGAAGAAGACAGCACACATCAGCCTGACACTGTTAAAGACAGAGATGGGAAATGAATGAATGAAAACTGGCTGCTTTTTTTTTTTTTTTTTGGTTTTTCGAGACAGGGTTTCTCTGTGGCTTTGGAGCCTGTCCTGGAACTAGCTCTGTATACCAGGCTGGTCTCGAACTCACAGAGATCCGCCTACCTCTGCCTCCCGAGTGCTGGGATTAAAGGCGTGCGCCACCATTTTTTTAAATTTATTTATTTATTAAAGATTTCTGCCTACTCCCCGCCACCGCCTCCCATTTCCCTCCCCATCCCCCGATCAAGTCCCCCTCCCTCATCAGCTCGAAGAGCAATCAGGGTTCCCTGATGTGTGGGAAGTCCAAGGACCACCCACCTCCATCCAGGTCTAGTAAGGTGAGCATCCAAACTGCCTAGCCCCCCCACCCCCCAAAGCCAGTACGTGCAGTAGGATCAAAAACCCACTGCCATTGTTCTTGAGTTCTCAGTAGTTCTCATTGTCTGCTATGTTCAGCAAGTCCGGTTTTATCCCAGGCTTTTTCAGACCCAGGCCAGCTGGCCTTAGTGGATTCCCGATAGAACATCCCCATTGTCTCAGTGTGTGGGTGCACCCCTCGCAGTCCTGAGTTCCTTGCTCGTGCTCTCTCTCCTTCTGCTCCTGATTTGGACCTTGAGATTTCAGTCCGATGCTCCAATGTGGGTCTCTGTCTCTGTCTCCTTTCATCACCTGATGAAGGTTAATATTCAGGAGGATGCCTATATGTTTGTCCTTGGATTCACCTTCTTATTTAGCTTCTCTAGGATCGCGAATTATAGGCTCAATGTCCTTTATTTATGGCTAGAAACCAAATATGAGTGAGTACATCCCATGTTCCTCTTTTTGGGTCTGGCTTACCTCACTCAGGATAGTGTTTTCTATTTCCATCCATTTGTATGCAAAATTCAAGAAGTCCTTGTTTTTTTACTGCTGAGTAGCACTCTAATATGTATATATTCCATACTTTCTTCATCCATTCTTCCATTGAAGGGCATCTAGGTTGTTTCCAGGTTCTGGCTATTACAAACAATGCTGCTATGAACATAGTTGAACATATACTTTTGTTGTATGATAGGGCTTCTCTTGGGTATATTCCCAAGAGTGGTATTGCTGGGTCCAGGGGTAGGTTGATCCCGAATTTCCTAAGAAACTGCCACACTGCTTTCCAAAGTGGTTGCACAAGTTTGCATTCCTACCAGCAATGGATGAGTGTACCCCTTTCTCCACAACCTCTCCAGCAAAGGCTATCATTGGTGTTTTTTATTTTCTGGCTGCTTATTTTTCTGATTGAATTACCCACCAGAAACTAAAACCCATTTCCAGTCACCGTCAAAGCAAAGATGGAGGTAAAGTACATTCGCAGACTGACAGACAGCACAAAGTTCAGAGTTAAGACAGTGGCTTCCCAGGAGCCCCTGAGTCTTCTTGACACTGCAGATCTGTTTTAAGGTTTTCATTGTGTTGAATTAGGGGTTCAAGTGAGCCACATGGAGGCAAATACTCTGTGGCTTCCTCTTCTGTGCAGGAGTTCGTGATTGACACGCCGTGTGAAGATGCCCAGAAGATGTACATCGGCAACGCCATGGACGGGAACTGTGCTGCCGTCTTCGCCCAGCTCATCATTGAGGGAAAGTCACAAGGTTTGTTACCAACATGAAAGAATCCTCTTTGTTATTGCTGTTTTCCCATCAGGTGAAAATGGGCCTCACAGGGCCAGTTTTGTCTTGTAAAAATATGTACTAACTTTATCTTACATAGAAAAGTGGTGACCAAATTTGCTGACATTAGTCGCTGCTGTGTGCAGTGCCTAGAACTCAATGGATTTGGAATGTAACAATGTCATATTGCTCCAGAGAAGAAGTTTTATTCTTTTATTTTTATTTTTCACTGGGTAGCCTGGCTATTCTAGAATTCTCTATGTAGACCAGGCTGGCCTTGAACTTACAGAGATCCACCTATCTCTGCCTCCCAAATGTTGGTATTAAAGACACATGCCCTTACACAGAGCTTGAAGGTTTATTCTTCACAAGGAGTCATCTAGGGCCGGGATGGTAGCTTACTCCTGTAACTCCAACACTTGGAAGGCAGAGACAGGAGGATTAACTTGAATTAGAGTCCACCTTGATCTATATGGTGAGTTCTATGCCATCTAGGGTTATATATTGAGACTTTGTCTCTACAGCAGTGAAAAAGGGAGGCCTACTAAGGTCCTGTCTCTGTGCCTTCCTTAGGGCCCCACTGTTTCATCGTTCCCATCAGGGATGAGCACGGAAACTTGTATCCAGGGGTGACAGCTATTGATATGATGCATAAAGAAGGTGAGTCCTCAGGTGACCCTCCTCTGTGCTGGCTGATACCCCCCATGGGTCCTCCAGCCCCCACCACAGCCAAGGAGAATCTAACCACCTTCATCTCCAGGAAACCAAACTGCCAGGGGACCATACATTGATATTGTTATCTCCCAGCTTCTCAGTTGCTTAGTGACAAAGACGCTTAGTCTCCAATGGGTGTCTCAACTTTTCTTTTCTTAGACTTGTGCAGGTATCAGCTCTCTGGTGACTTTTCACCTCCAGATGGATGTTTGTGTCCAGACAGCCCTTTCTGAGCCTTGAGCACTGTCTCAGGACATTTGTGACACAACTAAGTCCTCACAGTTTTGGAGGATAGAGGCCTGAGATGAGGGAGCTGCCAGGGTTGACTCCTTCTGATGGGGGCAATGGAAGGTTTTGGTCCAGGACTCTTGCCCCAGCTTGTGAATGTCATTTTTACACGAGCATGAAGTCTCCCTGTGTACATATCTGTCTCCAGGTTTGTCCTTCTTATAAGAACTTCTATCATTTATATTAGGGCCCACTTTAATGACCCCATTTTAACTTGGTTGCCTCTGTTTCTAAACAAGGTCGCATTGCAAATATGGGGCTTACGGCTTCAATCTACAAATCGGATAGGGGAGGACACAATTCATCCCATAGCTCTCAATGAGATCAGGTTTCCAAGGTGAAGCCAGCTAAAGAAAGGGATGTAGGAGTTAAGAAAAGAGAGAAGAGAGAGAGGAAGGGGTAGGGGAGGCACGTTGGACAGCGGAGGAGTAATCCCTTCCTACCTTTAGTATAGGCAACCACTGCTGCCAGGCATGGCCCCTGAAAGTACCTCGAGTGTCAAAGTCTGCTGAGAGCGGAGGGACAGGCCACTGCTGATGAAATCATGCCACATGTTGACAGCATTGGCAGCTGCAGAAAGACTGCTTTGGTTTTCCCATGTCTTCTGCTATTTACTTTCACTAGCTCATCCTGTGCCTGAGGAGGAAGCATGAACCGTGCATGGAGACAGGCTGGTCTGTCTCCAGTGTCCCATGCTTTCTCTTGCCTCAACACTCTTTTTTTTAATTTTTATCTACTTATTTAGCTTTAAATTATATTTTATGTATGAGTATTTTCTTGCATGTCTGCGTACCACATGTGAGCTGAGTGCTCAGGGAGATTGGAAGGAAGCCTCAGTCTCTTGGAACTGGAGTTGCTGATGGTTGTGAGCCACCCTGTGGGTTCTCAGAACTGAACCTGGGTCTTCTGCAAGAGCAACAAGTGCTCTTAATCACTGAGCTGTCTCCTCAGGCCCTGAACTCTTTCCTTTTAATAATGTTTGCTGTTGGGGAGGGAGATGTGCCCCATCAGACCCTGAACTTGAGTTTCTAGCACATTGTGGGGGGCAGGGGCTGCAAACAAGGAAAACCACATCATTGTCTGGTTCTTCTTCAAGGTGGGGGTTGGGAATGGGCCAGGTGTGTCTGAGCCAGGGCCCAGAGAACAAACAGACAACATCCTAGGCATACTCCCTAACAAAAGAACACCTGCAGTTCTGGAAATGTTTAAGGTTTGTGTTTTAGGCCAAGAAGCTGAGACCATCTTGGAATGTTGTGTAGCTTCCCCTTGCATCTCCATTTGAAATCTGTCCCCCCAGGTCTGAACGGTGTGGATAACGGAATTTTGATGTTTAACAAGGTTCGAATTCCAAGAGAGAACCTGCTGGATAAGTGAGTAATTTTTTCTTTAAGGTCTGTGTAGATGGTCTCCTTGTTCCCAAAAATGAGGCCTCTAGTTTTGGGGTCTTGCAGACTGCAGGACCAAGTGGTCTCCCCTCAAGGGTTTCCACAACTGACTGGAAAAGGTAGATAAGCAAATAGTGAAAAATCTAAATGCTCCAACATGACATCTGTCAGACATAATGCTTGTTACGGTAGACTTTTCTCTATGCCAATATGTCTAAAAAAAGAGACCTATATTAGAATTTTAACATAGAGTATCTTCTATTCTTTTAAGAATTCCCATTAAAATGTACCATAGCACTATGCTAAATAACTGATGAATTATGTCCCCAGTTTCTTGTTGTTTGGCATTTAACTTCTTTTTATTTTGGCAATTGTTTTTTTCCCATTTATTTATTTATTTTTAATTAAAAATTTCCACCTCCTCCCCTCCTCCCATTTCCCTCCCCCTTCCCCCTTCCCCTCTCCCTTCCTCTCCAGTCCAAAGAGCAGTCAGGTTCCCTGCCCTGTGGGAAGTCCAAGGTCCTCCCCCCTCCATCCAGGTCTAGAAAGGTGAGCATCCAAACAGACTAGGCTCCCACAAAGCCAGTACATGCAGTAGAATCAAAACCCAGTGCCATTGTCTTTGGCTTCTCAGTCAGCCCTCCTTGTCCGCCACGTTCCGAGAGTCCAATTTGATCACATGCTCCATCAGTCCCAGTCCAGCTGGCCTTGGTGAGCTCCCACCGTCTCAGTGGGTGGGTGCACCCCTCGCGGTCTGATGTGCGCTGCTTGCTTCCCCTGTGGGTGTGAAAAGTTAAGACACTCCCCCTTTTGATTATTATCAAAATACACTGTATGCATGCATGAAATTCTCAAAGAATAAATAAAAAATATTGTATTAGAAAAAAGACACCTTTCATCTGAGGAGGTAGTTAAAACTACTGTCAATTGGAGGGAGAATGCCCAAGCATCCACAAGGTAGTCAAGGTGACTCAAACAGGGAGGTGGATGTTTCCTTCTCTGGTGTGATCACTGATGAAAGTTAGGGTTAAAGATGATATTTTTTTTTTGCAGATTCTCGGAAACACCAGCTACCTCAGTGCCTCAGCTGTGTTTCCTGTGGTCTGTAAATCCAGAGCCAGAGCTGCACTTAGATCACTGGTAGAGCCAACAATCTGGGCATACACATAAGCTTTCTATTTCACTTTGCAGTGGAGTTTTCCCTTTACTTATCTTTGCTCCTTACAAGTTCTTGTCAACAAATACATGTAGTCACTTGCAAAAGTCAAAGAAAATTGTGTGGGAAACAAACTTAGAATGGGCCACATTCTCTTTGTCTCCCACCTTATGTAAAATGGTGGTAAATAGAACAGAAACAGCAAAGACATCTTTACAGATGTCCTGGAAAATCTCAGCAGATACCAGTGCTTGTGAAAGTGGGTCTGAGGCCCACTAGCCTTCCCTAGAGTCTCCTGTCCATTTCCTAGGCTCCTGTCAGCATCACCCGGTTTCTGTCTGTTTCCTAGGCTCCTGTCAGCATCACCCACTCTGGGGGATGGAAGGGAGGGAGAAAAGTCACAATGGGCAGCTTCCCATATTCTATCACCCTAACCAGATCCCAGTGTCCGGTGTGGCCTCAGAAGCTACTGGCCAATGGGAAGGGCTTAGCAAAAGCACTAGAGATTAGCAAATCAGATTCCATGAGAAAGCAGAATGATAGTGGACTTGTTTGTAGTTAATCATTTTGATGAGCAAGATTTGATTTATAACATTATTTTGTTACCATTTAAGTTGTCCCCCATAACTGCAAAACAGCAGTAGCCACATGGGGTTTTAAAGGAGCAAGTTTTGGTTCATCACTTGAATAGAAAGTGAGCCAGTTCATAGATGTAAGCAAATGATTCAATATAATCTCTCTAAAAAAAAACTCAGCTGCCATTTTCATTTTTGAAGAAATTAATAAACTCATCCTAAAATTTACATGCAAGTATAGGAAACTTAGAGCAGAGAAAAACCATCTTTATAAAGAATACAGTAGGAGGATTCATACTTGGAATCTGAAAGCTGAAGACCAAGCTGTGGTAATCCTGACTGCATGGCGTTAACATAAGGGATATATATGGACAATGGGATAGAATAGTGTACACATAAATTTATTGACAATTACTAGACTTCTGGAGAACCAAGACAGAAAGGAAACAATAGTCTTTTCAACAAGTGGTTCCAGAACATGTGGCTGTCTATATTCAAAAATGTTAGGTTGAATTATTACCTCACACCACCCAGCACAGATGCACACAGTTCTTAGAAGAGGCCTGGGCTATACAGCTAGTGACCTTGGTCTCATCAGTGAGTTTTTTTTTTAAGATTTATTTATTTATTATGTATACAACATTCTGCCTCCATGTATGCCCACATGCCAGAAGAGGGCATCAGATCTCATTACAGATGGTTGTGAGCTACCATGTGGTTGCTGGGAATCGAACTCAGGACCTCTGGAAGAGCAGCCAGTGCTCTTAACCACTGAGCCATCTCTCCAGCCCCTCATCAGTGAGTTTTAAAATGTGACACCAAAGATACAGGCAAAGAAAAACCAAAGAAAAAGTAGCGCACTTGAAGTTTATAAAAAATTGTAAAAACTTAGTGAAAATTGACTTTTGAGCTGAAAAAGACTTGTGAATCAAACATATTATAAGGGCGTAGCCTTCAGAATGGGAGAACTATGCCAGTTAATTATACAGACAACCAGTTAAAAAACTAAACAAAATATCATTAGACATTTTCCCAAAGAAGATAGTCAACCTTCTAATAAAGCATGAAAGAAAACTCCCCAACTCCCCACTGTCAATGGGAGGCTGCTGTCCAATCCCAGTGAGATGCCATTCTGCACCCCTTAGGACGTCTGTGCTAAAACTTGCAGACAATACCAAGTACTGTTGAAGATGAAGATATTGGATCTGACACGTGGCACTGGCAGTGTTGTAACATGTCTTCATAGATTTGGAAAGTCACTTAGCAGTTTCTCAAAAGTTTTAAGTTTGGACTGGAGAGGTGGCATGGCAGTTGAGAGTGTTTGTTCCTCTTGCAAGGAAGCAGATTCAGTTCCCAGCACCCACATAATGGCTCATGAATGTCTAACTTCAGTTCCAGAGGATCTAATGTTAATCAGATGTTTATTGCATCTCATTTCATCTTCTTCTGGCCTCAGTGAGCTCCTTTACTCAAGTGGTGTGCATTAAACTCGTGCAGCACACACACACAAATAATATATAAATCTTTTTTAAAATGTTGGAAGTTAGATGATTCAACAGTTTTATTTCCAGATGCACATGTATATCTGTATATGTTATGTGTGTGTACATCCATACATATATACATAGATATGTGTGTGTTATATACATATAAACATTGTCCATATGCTCATTGAAATGTGTACATCTATTTGTCCCAAATAAACTTGAGCACAAATAGTTATAACATAATTATCCATAATATCCCCAAAGTGGAAAAATTCTAACATCTGTTAGCTGATAAATGCTAAAGATGATTGGGTGAAATATTCCTCCATAAAAAAATAAGTAGTGATATAAACTATATAGCATAGGTGAACCTTGCAAACCCTGTGCCAAGTGAAAGAAGCTGGATACAAAATGACATGATATATTTTGTTCCCTTTGATGCAAAGAGTAGGATGATCCATAAGGACAGGAAGTTGTTAGCTATGGACTGGAGGGTGGAGATATAGAGAGTGAGTTCAGCTGGGGTGGGGTTTCTCTAGGATGGTGAAAAGTTTTGGAGTTGAGGAGTAATAATGGTTGTAGAACTTTGTGAAAATTCTAAACCCCACCAAATCCAGATGCTGTAAACAGCTGAATTGTATGGGATGTTCATTACATCACCTTGTTTTCAACAAGCAAGCCAGGGTGTTTGCCCATCCAGGCCCTGGCTTTGGTTTGATGGTGGTGGTCTTCCTGCTATTCCTTTGTGGGAGCTGCTTCTCCACTGCAGGCTGGCAGTGGTAGAGAACCTGTACTTACCTTCAAGTCAAGCCCTTCTCAGCATTCCCTTGGAGACGCTCCCAGGAGTCCCATTTCTGTGTGTACAGGGGAGTCACACGATTTCATTTCTAGCAGCACCATACTTTGTTTTGTCTTAAACACCGTCCTCTTTTCCATCCTGCTTCCCTACATCCTCACAGGTTTGGTTCTGTGACTCCAGATGGACAGTACTATTCACCCATTCAAAACAAGAGTACAAGATTCAACGCAATGCTGGCAATGCTGACCCCTTCAAGACTGGCAGTGGCTTTCAACGCCATGGGTACCATGAAGGTAGTAGACTCTGATTCTAATTAACTTTACTGCTTGTTGTTTCCAGGATGAGTAACAATATCAGAGGCTAAGATTCTCAACTCACAGTTACATGGGGCCAGAGATATTCATGGTATGCTGAGGAGGGCTGTTTAACCGTGAATACAGATCATTTCTGCATCCTCGGACTATCTTTCATCTATCTGTATCTCAGATATGCATTGCTAGGCAAAAGCAGCAGCATTATAAAAGGTGACCCAGAGAGACTATCTTCTTTAAGATGAGTGTGTCTGCTAGAAAGCAATTAAGCATCAACTCACATGGGAAGGTCATCATTTCTTTGCTTAGTTCTTCGATGCCTATTGCTCTACACATGCTAGTCAGGTGTGATGTTTACCAGCCTGAAAAAAATGGACAAGCAGGAACGGGGAACTGATTCAGGGTTGTCTTGAGTGTCAAGGGAGTGTCTGTGTGCTATCGCTCCAATTCATGGACGTCTTTCAACAACCACTGTCAACAGTCTTCTGGCAGAGTTCACAAGGACAGATCTTTGAAGCTATCTGGGTCTCCCCATTCCCCTTCTCCCATGCACTGGTTTGGGTAGAGCCTCAAGAGAGGAAGCTCCGGGAGTATCGTTCTCTCTTCCTCGTGGCTCCATACTGTTTTGTTCTCTGGGCCTTCATAGTTTCTGAGTGAGGGAGAATTCTGCCTTAAGTGCCGTTGAGTTTGGCGAAGCTGGAAGAAAAATGTAGACTCCTCAGTAGTGTGTATTTGTGACTTGGATCCAGTTTTTCCATCAAGAAGGATGAGATTTCATTCACCTGACTCCAGGCCTGACATTGGTCTGTGGGTAACTGAACAGTATAAAATCCTTTCTTACTCATTTATGGGCACCGTGGCCTTATCCCAACGTCTGGGAATGGCGCTCCTTTTGTGTGTGGATCCAGCTGTCACATTGTGAACCCAAGTGTTCAGTACCGAGGCCCTGACCTGATGCCCTGCGCGCATGCTTGTTCTGTGGTGGCTCTTATGTGAGACCAGGTGGCTATTCTGAAGTCTCGTGTCGCCGGTGTCTTGACTAGTTCCTTATCAGTACTATTTGATGGGGGGAGGAACCCAGCAAAACTTTGTGATGAGGCACTGGCCCGTCAGCATTCAGGTTCTGAAGAAAATGGACAAGCAGAACGGGGAGCTGATCCAGGGTTGTCTGGAGTGTAAAGGGAGTCTCTGTGCACTATTGCTCTAACTCATGGACGTCTTCCAACAATCACTGTCAGCAGTCTTCTGGTAGGAGTTCTGGGTTATAATCACATGCTGGTTGGCTAATGGCAGCAGAGGCCTCTGGGAAACCCTGCATTGTAGGCATGGAGTCTTGTTATTAATTAGGAAATCTTGGCCTTTAGCTTAGACTTGATTTCAACTAGCTCTTTCTTTTTTTAGATTTTATTTATTTATTATGTATACAGTGTTCTACCTGCTTGTATGCCTGCTTGCCAGAAGAAGGCACCAGATCTCATTACAGATGCTTGTGAGCCACCATGTGGTTGCTAGAAATCGAACTCAGGACCTCTGGAAGAACAGCCAAGGCTCTTAACCTCTGAGTTGTCTCTCCAGCCCTCAACTAGTGCTTATAACTTAAATTAACCCATATTTTTATTAACCTATGTTCTACCATGTGTCTTTTACCTCTACCCCATTCTGTGTGTCTGACTCATTCCATATCTCACTGGCCTCTCTCTGGAGTAATCTGCATACCTAGGTTCCTCCTACTTTCCCCCCTTCTCCCCAGAAATCTCACCTATCTCTTTCTGCCTAGCTATTGGCCATTTAGCTCTTTATGAAACCAATCACAGCAATACATTGTCACACAGTGTACAGATATTCCACAACATCACAGCCTAGACAGATACATGTGGGAGATGGCACCAGGACATCCACACTGCCGGAAGTCTTGTACATGCACGGTGGGCATGCCTGGCATTAGCCTCAGCCATATGTGGGCATCAGATCTCTTGTAACCAATATTACAGATTTCTGTGAGCCATCACGTGGGTGCTGGGAACTAAACTTGGGTCTGCTGCAGAGCAGCAAGTGCTCTTAACTGCTGTGCTACCTCTACAGCCCCGAGACCTGGTTTTAAATTTCACCAGATCTGTACAGTGTGGGGAGGCAGCTCCCAGGAAAGGAGACCGATGGGTGAGTTTTTGTGATTTCATTTCCTCTTCTACTGAATGTTACTATGGGGCTAGCACTGAAGACCCTGTGGTCTCGAGAGCCACATTTGGGTCAGTTCTTTGTGACAGTTTGATGCTCATCCTTAGTTTCTGTCCGTGTAGATGGATGATAGTGAGGATGGGCCCTGAACTCAGGGGACCTTTGGATTCTAGTCTTATCTCGTATGTGACAGAAATCGGGCTGTAGGGCAGGCTTTAGCCCTTCCTGAACCTCAATTTTCTCACCAATGAAATGGACTGCCAATGATGGTGAGGTAAGAGTGAAGGACCAAGGGTGCCAAGCATAGAATAACACGGCTTTAGGGCATTGTGGCTTGAGCGCATGGACGAGAGCACACCTCATGCCATGGCATCTGAGAAGCACAGAGAGATGGGAAGGGTCTATACCAGTTACTTGTCTCTTGCTGTGACAAAATACTGGATAGGAGCAAACTGGCTGGAGGGCGGGTTTCTTTGGGCTCCACTCTTCAGGTATGTACCGTCTACAATGATGGGGATGTCACGGCAGCAGGAACTTGAGACAGCTGCTCACATTGTATCTGCAGACAGAAGCAGAGAGGGAGAAAGGCTTATGTTTAGTTCACTTCCTCATTTCTATTCAGTCCAGGTGCCAGCCCATGGAATATTATTTATATTTAGAGTAGATTGTCTCACCTCAGTTAACCTAGATCATCCCTACAGACATGCCCATAGAGTTGTTTGTATGGTGTTTCTTTCTTTCTTTTCTTCTTTTTTCTTTCTTTTTTTTGAGACACGGTTTCTCTGTATAGGTTTGGAGCCTATCCTGGAACTCACTCTGTAGCCCAGGCTATCCTCAAACTCACAGAGATCTGTCTGCCTCTGCCTTCCGAGTGCTGGGATTAAAGGCACACACCACCAGCACCCAGCTTTGTATGGTGTTTCTAAATCCCATCAAGTTGGCAATCAAAATTAACCATCCCTGCAGCTGAGCTCATGGTACCTACTTCAAGGGCACAGCCCCAGTGATCTTACTTCCTTCTGTCAGGCCCCAGATTCTAAAGACTCCACAATTTCCCATTAGTGCCACAGGCTAGATACTAATCTATCAATACATGGGTGTAGAGGGCAGCATGCAGGATCCCAGCTGTAGCATCTAGGCCATGGGGAGATGTTTTACAGAGCCCCAGTGGGGTTAGACCTTGTGTATACTGCCATGTTGTCCCCTGAATAGCATTTCCAGTGGCTGTGTTGCATAGTAAGTGATTCAGAGTGGCCCTCTTGGCAGCTCCTCTTCCCCTGCAGCTCAGACATGTGACGGGTGTTTCCACAGCTGAAATCTAAGATGCTTCTGTTCCTTCTGCTGTCTCTGATGAATGGAAAATGGATCCTACCCTCCTGCGTGCATTCTTGATGTGTTAGGAAACTGTCACCCAGGCTGCTCACAATGATCTTAGCTCAAGGCTGGGCATGCTCAGTCCTTTTAAACTTTGCCCAGATGCCTGACTTTTCATGACTGTCTCTCATTCCCACGACATTCCTCAGAACGTTGAGATTTCTCTCAAAGGTTTGCCGCAGTAACCATGCTCTACTGGGTGCCCAAAATGACATGATCATTTAAATGATCAACAAGAACAGGAGAAAAAAGAAACTGAGATGTTTGGGGTAAGGGGTAATGTGGGGGAGGGGGCTTAAAAGACATTTGAAACATACTTGGGGTAGCTGGGAAGCCTTTCCCAGCAAATAAGGGAGATGAGGACAACACTGTGAATGTGGAGGGTGGCAGCAGGGGGGGGGGAATTTTAGTTCGTGGTCAGGCATCCCAGCTTCTCCTTTTGGATTGATTCTGCATGGAGGTAAATGTTTTAGCACAAGACACGTTGGTCCCCACTTGTAAAAGCGTATCCCCAAAGGAGACTCCTGGGAGCTGCATCCCATCCAGCAGTGTCTTGTCTGGTGTGACGTTACAGGCAAGGGTTTGCTCTTTGTGGAGGCCTGTGTCTAGCAGGTAGGCATGGCTGTACCTAGGCTAGCTTTGCTCCAGCCACCCTGATTCCCTCTGTGGCCTTCTGATGTTCATGGACCAAGGGCCAAGTTCTTGTCTCATATCAAGGGTCCCATATGACTCCTTACTTCTGGACCCCTTCTTCCCACTTGGCCCTCTCCTGATGGCCTCATTTTCTTCCCTTGTTGTGGTTGGGGTACTCACAGATGATGCTCTGCCTACTCATTTTTATATAAGGCAAATTTTCTCATCCATTTCAAAGCTCTCAAGATTGTGCCTTCTTCCGAAGTGCCAGGCCGGCACATGCTCCCAGTGCTGTCTCTCTCCAAGACGTGGTGGCTCCCCACATGGTGTTTACTTTGGTTATAACTAAACTAAAGCTTGCGACGGTGACACTAGAGTTTAGGGATTCCGCATGGGTCATGGATCCATTCAGAAGGCATGGCCAACCCCAATGTTTGGGCACTGTGTGTGCAAAAAGGGAACTCAAAGGAAATGCGGAAATTTGCTAAGACTGGTATCTACGAGGCATCTCCATGTGTCTGCACATGGGTCAAAGTCCATGCGAGGACAAAATGGGAGTGGCTTCTGGTTAGCCACTGGAACCTCCATCTCAGGCTTCTAGACTCCAGACTGTGAGGGAAAAATGTCTGTTATTGAAGTTATTGGGTTTGCTTTGCTACTTCAGCAGACTGATATATGTGTCAAAGGACCCAGAGGGTAGGTGAAGGACCTCCATGACAGGCTGTCAGTCAAGACTACAGCTGATTGGAATCATCTCTGCCTCCTCCCCTCACCCCAGGGCCCAGCCCTGAACTAGGCAA